GTCGGCCGTGAGTGTGGGTCACGGTGGGCGGTGGCAGGGTCCCGCTCGCCGCCCCAGGCCCCGGCTGCGGTCGGGGCTCCGGCCCCCAACATTCCGCACATTGTGACCAGGAGGCCTTGCCGGCTACACATTCCTCTTCTGCATCTGGTTGGCTGGAACCCAATTACCTCCCGTACAACTTGGCCCGGCCCACGCTCTGGCCCAGCACCTCTTCAGGCGGAGGGATACGGCGTCGGTACGTGCTGAAGCCGGGGCGAGATCTTATTTGGGAGAATATGAAATCCCCCTGGATTCAGACAGAGTTCAGGCTGTCTGGACAGACTTGCAGGGCAGCCCAGAAAGGATTTTAGACACCGTCCAGGCTTCGTGCTACAGGTGGGGAAACCGGGGCCAGGAGAGGTGGTCCCAGAAGGCCGGCCAGGGCAAGACTAGAGGCTCCCAGCTCTGTTGAGCACTGGGGTGACTTTGTTCCCAAACCCTCGGGTTCTGTGCTGACCCAGCTCCCGCCCCTCCCCCCCCCACCCCCCCTGCCTGTGAGGCCACCACAGGGCCGAGGGCAGCTCAGGTCCCGCAGCCTGAGGCCCGGCCAGCGGCTGACTTCCCCACTCCCCTTCCTGGACAGTGAATGGGGAGGCCATTGCACCCTAGGCTTGGACCATCCTGGAACAGGGGGCCTGGGCCATTCTGAGGTCAGCAAACCCCGTCACATCACCACTAAAGAACCTCAGCCTTTGCTCCGTGTGGCCCACGCCTCCATTGCCCCGGGGAGGGGATACCCGGAGGTGGGATTTCGGCGCGTCTGGGGCCCCAGCTGGGCACCAACCTACCCCACCCTCGTCACACCCGTCGAATGTTCTTGCCCCGTTTCTGTCATGTCTAGGAGCGGGCCCACCAGGCCCCCTGGGGGACTCCCAGCTCCTAGGGCAGGATGGGGTCCTCCCAGTAGGCCACAGGGCAGGCTGCAGTGACCTCACCTCCAGGCTGTTTGACGTGACCTCCAGAGCAGCAGGGAGGAGGAGGGACCAGAAGAGGGCCGTGTGACACAGCCAGGCGCCAGGCAGACTCTGGGCTCTGCACTCGCCCAACTGCCCAGCCCCCTAAAGGCCCCGCAGCATCCAAGGACACACACACACACACACGAGTGACCCCGCAGGACATTAAATCCGTGTGTTTGGAGATTGGCTGCTCTTCCTAAGGAGTGAGGCAGCGTCCCCCCCGCCCTGGGCTCTGGCTGTCACGTCCCTTGTAGGAGCCGCTATGCGCTTCTAGCCAGGCAGTGGAGAGAAAGAAGCCTGTGCTGGTCACCCCCAGGGTGTGTGCTCCTTTCGTCCCTGCCAAGGGGGTCAGGGGGCCGTGGGATGAGGGACCCCTGTCCCGGGGACCCCTGTCCCAGGGCCGGGCCCTTCCCCAGCTGAGAGGCCCGAGTCACCTTGTGTTCCCTCGCTTGCCCTGCCACAACTCCATTCTCCCTCCTGGGAACCTGTTCCTGGGACCTTCCTCACTGCCATGTCAGCTGCCCGGGGAGTGACCAGGCCCTGTCTCCAATGCAGGCGGGGCTGTGCTGCCGAGTCCTTTCTGCCCCCACCCCCACCCCAGCTAGGCTGTGAGCCAGGCTGTGGAGGAGGGAGGGGCGCAACCCAGGGCCTCCGGGTCCGGCTTACGGCCCGGCACCAGTGAGGGGGTTGCTCCCAGCCAACAAGCCCGGAATTAATTCTAGAACCAGGTGGGGGCGCAGGGGCTGGGTGGTAGAGGGCAGAGGTGCGGGGAGGAAGGTCAGCATCGGGACTAGATCCTGCGGTTTGGTCAGGACTCAGAGGAGAACCCGAATTGGCCAGTGTGAGCTGAGGATGCCAGCCTCTCGCAGGCAGGACCCGGCTTGGCAAGCTCTGAACTTTTGCGCCCCTCCCACCAGAGGCCTGGGACAGCGCGGGGCACGGCGAGGAGACAGAAGCTACCAAAGGACCCCACCATGGGATGACCCAGCGGGCCCGGACTGTGTACCTGGGACGCCTCTGGGTCTGGGTCTGGTTCCGGTTCTGAGGGACCTGCCGTAGGTCAACGATCAGAGTCATAAAAGGGCCACCGTCAAGGGGAGCTCATCCCCAGGCTATTCCCAAGCACGACGCTGCTCAAGGAGCCGAGAGACGACCACAGGGGTTTTCAAAGTGGCTCCTGGAGGGAGCGGAAGGGACCGGAAAACTGTCACCACGGTCATCAGAGAAGAAAGCTGCGCACACACGCTGTCTTCTGTTTTAAACCTTACAGACGCAGGTCGGGGAAAGCAGATGCGATGTCAACCTGTTGACCTCGGCTCTGCTGGGGGCAGAGTCACAGGGACCTCCGTGTCCTTGCTCTCGGTTTACAAATGTCCCCAGTATTTACAGTGAGACGCGGTGCCCACCATCCCCTCAGCCGGACTCCGGCAGGCGGGCTCTGGGCTGGCACCTCGTGCGAGGCCCCTGCTCACGCACCAGCCACCCCCGGGCCAAGGGCAGAGGGAAGACACTCAGACAGGTCCAAGGTCACACTCAAAGGGGTCACGCTAGAAGGGAGCTCTGCCTCCAGGCCCCTCTCCTTCTTAACCACCACACCGAACGTTCATTCATAAAGTAATAAAACACTTTTTGACAAAACCAGGAGGTCAGTTCCAGAGGAGACAGTGAGAAGCTGCCCCATCGGTGTCCTGTGCCTGGACCCGGGCATCCCATGACACCCTCACCTTGTGTCTGGCCTCTGTTACCCTAGGGGGGGGGGGGTCATCCCGGAGTCTGGCCCCG